TTAGCTGTGCAGAAACATTTTTTTAAGGTAGTCCCATTTGTCGAATCTCTCTCCACTTTGTTGTGACCCTGGGACTCTGTTCAGGAAGTTCCTGCCTGTGCCTATAAGTTCAAGTGTCTCTCCTACTCTGTCCTGAAGTAGTTTCAGAGATTCAGGTTTGATGTTAAGGTCTTTAATCCATTTTGAGTTGATGTTGGTGCATGGTGACAGGCTAAGGTCCACTTTTAGTTTTCTGCATGTGGCCACCCAGTTTTCCCAGCACCAGTAGTTGAGGAGGCTGTGTTTCTTCCACTGTATGTCTTTGGCTCCTTGGTCAAATATCAGCTGACTGTAGGCATGTGGTTTTATTTCTGGATCTTCTATGCTATTTCATTGGTCCTCTGGTCTGTTTTTGTGACAGTACCATGCTGTCTTTGATATTATAGTTCTATAGGAGGGTTTGAAGTCCAGCATCTAGATCCCTCCCATGTTGTCTAGAATTGTTTTGGCTATTCTAGGTCTTTTGTTATTCCATATGAATTTTTGGAATGTTTTCTGTATTTCAGAAAAGTACATCATTGGGATTTTAATGGGAATTGCATTGAATTTGTGTATTAATTTTGGCAGTATTGACATTTTCACTATATTAAGTCTGCCTATCCAAGAGGATGGAAGGTCTTTCCATTTCCTGATGTCTTCTGTAATTTCTTTCTTTAAGTTTTTATAATTTTTATTAAATAGTTCTTTTACATCTTTGGTTAGGTTAATTCCTAAATATTTTATTTTGGGGGGAGTTATTGTGAATGGGGTTGCTTTCTTTATTTCCCTCTCTGCTTGTATATTTTCTGTGTACTGGAAGGAGACTGCTTTCTGTTGGTTGATTTTGTATCCTGCTACTTTGCCAAAGTGATTTATAATTTCTCAGAGTTTGGGGATGGAGTTTTTGGGAGCATGAAGGTTTAGTATTATGTAATCTGCAAAAAGGGATAGTTTAACTTCTTCTTTCCCTATGCGGATCCCTTTAATGTCTTTTTCTTGCCTTACTGCCCTGGCTAAAGGTTCCAGGATTATATTGAAAAGAAGTGGAGACAATGGGCATCCTTGCCTTGTTCCTGATTTTAGGAGAATTGGTTGTAGCTTTTCTCCATTAAGTATAATATTGGCTATTGGTCCGTCAAATATGGCTTTTATTGTTTTAAGGAATGTTCCTGTTTTCTCCAGAGCTTTTAACTTGAATGAATGTTGTATCTTATCAAAAGCCTTTTCTGCATCTGTGGAGATAATCATGTGATTCTTGACCTTGGATCTGTTGATGTGTTGGATTACATTTATTGATTTATGTATGTTAAATCATCCCTGCATCTCTGGGATGAAGCCTACCTGGTCGTAGTGTATGATTTTTTTAATGTGTTTCTGGATTCTGATAGCTAGAATTTTGTTAATGATCTTTGCATCTGTGTTCATCAAGGAGATTGGTCTGTAGTTCTCTTTTTTTTTTTTTGTTGGGTCTTTGCCTGGTTTGGGGATGAGTGAGATATTGGCATCGTAGAATGAGCTTTGGATAAATCCCTCCTATTCTACTTCTCTGAAGAGCTTGAGGAGTATGGGTATTCATTCTTCTTTGAAGGTCTTATAGAATTCCATTGTGAATCCATCTGGTCCTGGACTTTTCCTTGTTAGAAGACTTCTGATTGCTTCCTGTATCTCGTAAGATATTGGCTTATTTAAGTGATTTACTTCTTCTTTGCTCAGTTTGGGCAACTTGTATTTCTCTAAAAATGCATCCATTTCTGCTAGTTATTCTTTCTTTAGAGAGTATAACTTTTGAAAATAGTTCTTTATAATTGTTTGGATGTCTTGGGCATTTGTTGTGATTTTTCCCATGGCATCCCCGATCTTGTTAATTTGGGTTTCCTGTCTTCTTTTCTTAATTAGTCTTGCCAAATGTCTATCAACTTTATTTATTTTTCAAAGAACTAGCTTTTTGTTATATTAATTTTATTTATAATTTTCCTATTCTCTATCTCATTAATTTCGCTCTTAATTTGATTATCTGGCTCTGTCTAGTAACTTTAGGTTCCATTTTCATGAGGGAATTTTTAGGACAAAGTATCCTTATGCTGTTTGTGTGATGGCAAGTAAGTACAATTTTCAAATCTTATGGAACAGAAAACTTAAGAAAGTATGTAATTTAATTGCATACAATCTGTGTTTCAATTAAAAAGAATGTTATTTTCAGCATTGTTTATAAAGAGTCAAGTTAGAGTGAAGCCCTAATTCAGTTGAATGTTTATTGCTTTTCAAACAAATTCAGGTTAGGGGGAAACTGGGTAAAAAGAAGTGTCTTTTACCTAGAATAGGAAAAAAGGAACATTTTTTTAAAGATGATTTTTTTTTGTTTTCCTCCTTTATATAGTTAAAAACATTTTCTGAGCACCTACCATTTCCACTACTCTAGAAACTGGAATATGAATAAGGCGATTCTTACCTTCACAAATGTAATTTGAATAAAAAAAAGGGTATTATATCAGGTACCCCAGTTGGATGAAGCAAGGAGAGTCCACCTGGAGAAGTTATAATCATATTCATGTATATTGAAAGGCATATTGAAAAAAGCCATTTGGGGATCAGGGTTAAAATAGCTAAATTTAAGAATTTATTTTGATGGTTCAGATACCTTTAAAAAATATTACAGCCCTATGGTTAGTCTGTTATTTTACTTTAAAATAATATGAAAATGTGAAAAAGTGATTATGGTCTTAAAATTCTTGTGAATCATTACTCATATTTGGAGCAAAACACTTTTGGCAGAGTCAGGAGTTTAGGACGTGGGAGGGTGTCATTATCTAATCCATGAATGAAATCTTACTCTTACAAAACCTAATGAGGCTAAATGGAAATCCTGGGTGAACTGGTCAGTGTTCCTCAGACGAGAGGCTCCAGGACATCCACTCCCTGCATATGCTTAGTGTGTCACCCTGGACATCTGCTAATGTTGAACATCTGTTTTATGTTTTCACTGGACTGCCAAAAAGAGAATGGGGTCATTAGTTATTCTACAATGTGAACTTATCCAGAACATTACCTATGTATGAGGAATAATAATGTCAAGAAAGCTATAACCACTAAAATTAATTCTAAAGTTTGCTTCACACTGAGAATATTACAGGCATGATTTCAAAAGAGATTGCCAAACTATCTCAAGTCTTCTAATAAAAACAAATGTAGCTTAATACAACATTTATCATCCAAGAGTCATTGTAAATTGATGTTTTCTGAATAGTAAAATAACTCTAGTCATAAATAAGGTAAGATACTTATGTGCCTATGAATTACCTAATGTTTCAATCATACTTAATGTATTTATGTTCACTTATACTTGCTAAAATTTTTAACCCATATGACTTACTTTCTGTTAGTTTAATTTTTATTCACAATCTCATTATAATCCAGTCATATTGACAAATGAAAACTGTTTGAAAGATTGAAATTAAGTGGAGAGATAAGCTGTTGTATGATATGTGTCTTTTATTTCCTTATTATTTATGAAAAAGTATGAAAAACATTCTCAATAATTTTAATTAGTTATTCATTGAAAATAAGGTCCTGCCATAGACTCAGATATTAATAGTTGGAATATGAAGTAATGCTATATTTTCTTACTTAGAAAATAACTTTTTATATTTATGTAAAATACAAGATGTAAACTACAAGGTGCAATGTTGCTATAAATATATGGTAATAAGGGTCTTGTGAGAGATTTCTAATAAGATAGTTGTTTTAAAACTCATATATCTTTCATATAAACATCTATTCAGCATATATAGGGTGATATCTACTTACTGTATCCATAATTTAGATTTGAATGTGAAAAAGAATGGCAGGAGTAACCTTCACAGAAAAAATAGAATGCTGACAGTGTTATAGAAACTGTAGAAATCATGTTGCTTAAATATTCACTTAAGATGGGGGGTGGGGTTCTGTGTCTGTGTCTCAAGTGGTAGAGTACTAGCCTTGAGCAAAAGAAACTCAGGGACAGTGCCCAGGCCTTGAATTGAAGGCCCAAGACTGACAAAAAAAGAAAAAAGAAATGGGGGGCAAAGTCCAATTTTACCTCTCTGTTTCATCTTACCTTGTTTTATTTTTAATTTTTTTTGGTCGGTCCTGGGGCTCGAACTCTTGGCATGGATGCTTTTCCTGAGCTCTTCAACTCAAAGCTAGCACTGTAGCACTTGAACCAAAGTGCCACGTCTGGCTTTTTCTGCTTATGTGGTGCTGAGGACTTGAACCCAGGGTCTCATGCATGCAAGGCAAGCACTCTATCAATGAGCCACCTTCCTAGTGCTCTTATTTTGTTTTAAAAAGTAGTATTTATTAAAATGTGAATGCTGAGAAAGACTATGAAGATGTGATTATATTTCATCTTATAGCAATGTAACTAAATTATTTATGAATGAGAGTTCCCTATTAGTAGAAATTAAACTATATTTCCAGAGATGATGTCTCTGGAGGAGTAAGTTTGCTGTTCATAGCTAATGTATTCCTTATAATCACAACTTTTTATTATGTGTGTATTCAACTGGTCTGCTGCTGTATTCCAGCAGTTCTGTGTTCAAGGTGTGCTTTGATTATATATTTAGTGGTTTGAAATACAATGTGACTAGTAAAATAATAAAAACATTTTAATAAGTTTTTTATTGTGAAAACACCATACAGAGAGGTTACAATTACATGGGCAAGATAGTGAGTACATTTCTTATCAAGCATTGTTGCCTCCTCCTTTTTTTCCCCATACCATCCCTTCACCTCTTCACCCCTCACTCCCACACCCCCCTACTATCACCCCCCACCCCCACCCTCCACCCCGCCAAAGTTGTAAAGTTCGTTTTTCGACATAACGTCTTGTTATGTTGTAATAGGTCCACCTGTAACCCTATTTAAATAGTTTATTTTTTCCCTTCCCCTCCACAAATTGTATCAACATACTGATTTGTTCAATCTAATATTTTGCTTTTTTGTAGGAAGATGTCAAATATGAATATATACAAAAAGAACAACAGAAAGAATGGAAACATTTTAAGGTATAATATGACACATAGTAATGATATATACATGCTAGACAGTCAGTGTTTCTTTCTAGAAAATGCCAACTGTTTTAAAACAGTAACTTCAGGGAACATGAATGTGAAGAGAAATAAAATAATTATAATGAATACATTTTAAAGAAAAATGTACCCTTAATTTCTCTATGCTTAACAGTCTTCTAAGACACATATAAAATAACTCCATTTGATAATTGCTTTTGTGTCTGAAATTTATCCAGACAAATACATACTGTCTACAGTGTGATAAGCACTTAGTGTATGTTGGGTTTTATTTCTCTCCCTTTTGTATAAATCCTGCTTTATTATCTTATGGAAGAGGAGATTAAGGACTAGAGAATTGAATGAGCTTGATGAAGCATTATAGATTCCTAATATAACAACCAATTATATTAGGCAACTCTAATTTATCCAACTGCAGGTAAAAGTTCTTCAAAACTTTCTGATACTTTTAAATTTATTAACATGTGACCGTCAAGAGATAATATGATTATTTTGTAATATCTATGGTAGAAGAAAATAACAGTGATTTTCATACTTTTGTGGTGCCAGTCCAAACATTTGGCATTTTGAAAATATCAGCTTCCAAAATTACCATAACTGTTACCATTAACCTGATTATCACCTAATCCATACTCCTAAGATACACAGAGTTTATAAATCCCCAAAGATCTCATATATTACATCTTTAAATCTATTGAGGAACAAAAAGAAATCACTTGAATATCGTGGTATATCTGAGAAACAATGTTCAATATATGAAGAAAATAAAAAAGAAATTTGACATGAACATTTACAACAACATTCTGCCTTTAAATAGCAACCCTTTCTATTGCTGGCAGATACTTAGACTGATATGTGGTTTATACAAAGGAAAAAATATAGGCAGAATTTTTTAAAAAAAGGATATTTCATTTTTTAAATATATAGAAGTTAGTAACATAGCAAGTGACAAGGCCCTGGAAACAATAGTCCTAAGGTTACTCAAATAATAGAAGAAAGGAAGAAAGGATCATGGTTTTTCAGGTAACTCAGTTGTGGGCTCTGGTTCTGGACCATGGGTAAACACTACACAGCAATGATTTGAGGCCTATAAGTTTTCTTTTTTTCTTTATTTCCTTCCTTCCTTTCCTTCCTTCCCTTTCTTCCTTTCCTTCCTTCCTTTTTTCCTTTCCTTCATTCTTTTCCTTCCTTCCCTCCTTTCCTTTCCTTTTTGTTATTGGTTGTAGAGTTCTGACTCAGGGCCTGGGTGATGTCACTGAGCTCTTTTGCTCAAGGTTAACCACTCTACCACTTTGAGCCACATCTCTATTTCCAGTTTTCTGGTGGTTAGTTGGAGAAGAGTCTCGCAGACTTTCTTACCCAGGCCTGCTTTAGACTTCAATCTTCAGATCTCAGCCTCCTGACTAGATGGGATTACAGGCTTGAGCCACCAGCACATTGAAAGTTTTCTTTCATTGCATTTTAAGCATGAATGAGAAAACTAGGGAAACGGGTCTATTTAGTAAGGAGTGTCAGAATCATCTTCCAAATAATTTTCTTAGTGAAACAAAGAATGGACTAATGCCCATGAGAAAATTCCTTTCCAGCCACATCTGCAGTGATGCGATCTTTGGCAGAATGCTGATTGCTCTTGCCTTGATACATTTCTAAGTTTCTTAGGTAATTCTTTTGTACTTATTCTAATTATTGTCAATCTCTGATCTCTGTTTTAGCTCTCAAGGACTTCAGTCATTCCAAACATAATGGTTTACTAAAATATGAAGGGTAATATACTTATATATACATTTACATATATAAATGAATACTTTAAAAATAGAGGGAGCATTTTTCTTTCAAAAATGATTATAAAATAAAATCTGATCATTTCTTTACTCCTCTGCACCAAATGAAATATATAAAACACTTTAATGTTTTCCCATTTTCCTTAAAATTGGGAATCATAGTATTTTAGTTACATGCAGTATTGTGGTAATTTTGTACCTTTCAAATCTCTCTTGCCCTACTAAAACTTAACACCTTTCAGTTTTCTAAAATCTATTTTCTCTTTTGTTTGAAGCACTTCTACTTATAACTGCTTACTCATCTCTTTTACTAGTAGAATATAATTTCAAAAAGGGAGACCCCACCAAATTCAAAATAATGTTGAAAGAATTACATGCATAAACTGGTAGAGCTTTTGTTGCTCAAGTGACCCAAAATACATATGCAATAACATGGTTGAGGTGAGTCCCAAATCTTTAGGGGAGGAGGCTCCCTGATACATCTGCAAACTCAAACCTCTTCCTGTTTCTCAAATGATACCTTGCTGTCAAACATAGTGATATTACTTAACGTAGAAGCTCCTGGCTGGATATAGCAAACTCTCAAATTTATCATGCTTATGGAAGCATTTTATACAAAATTATTCACAATGTTGCACATGAAGATTGTTGTTCTTACCTCATGTCCTAAATAATAGATGATTTGTCAACTGTCTAGGTTTGCATGCCAGTGAAACATTTGTTAAGGATGTCCTGTTTCCTGTCATGCAATGATTAGTTCTAGTGGAAAGTCTGTTGTACTTACTGACAATCAATTGTCATGAAAGTCAATTTTGATTTCTTTTCTTCCGGTACTATGCCCTTCAGGAATACTGGAGCACGTAGACATTTAGAAAAACATTTTGTGAGAGTAAGCATCTCATACTTTGTAGCTTATAGACACTGTGCATTAACAGGTACTTGTGAGTTTCCATGTTCATGCCTTCTAGTCTGTTTTAAATCAATGTAAGTCCTCTGCAGCCATTTTTTTATTGGTTCCCACAAACTGGAGCAAAAATTATATGTGGAGGATGGGGGAAGAGACACAATTGTACATAGCAGCGTGCTTGTCAGTATTTAACAAATTCCTATCCCATCTCTCACTGTAAAATCTTGATTTATAGGATTTTCAATATTTTGAATTAGACACAGCCCCCTCATAGCCAATTTCAAATTCTACAGCCTATGTCACTAATTTATTTATTTTTATTTTTATTTATTAATTTATTAATGTATTTATTGTGAAAATACCATACAGAGGGGTTACAATTACATGGGCAAGGTAATGAGTACTATCAAGCATCCTTTGTTTCCCTTTCCCATCTCTTCCCATGCCCCCCCACCCTCCCCCCCCACCAAAATTATAAAGTTCATTTTTTAATATAATGCCTTGTACATCTCATTGTTGCAATGGGTCCACCTGTATTTAAACAATTTGTTTTTTCCCTTCCCCTCCACAAATTACACCAACATCAAATACAGTGAAAGCAGGGGTTATACCGTGGGGAAGGGACATACAAAGCAACAAAAAGCTCATCTTATAAATATGTTAGAAACAATTGCAAGAAAGAACAAAAAACATTTGAATCCTTGTCTTGGGGTTCATTTCACCTAGCTTCAACTTATCTGACCTTTTCTGCTTGTCTCAGACATATACTAGTTATTGTAAATAAAGGAAACCATGGGACCTATGTTTTTTGGGCCTGGCTTACTTCACTTAATATAATTTTTTCCAAGTCTTTCCATTTCCTAGAAAGTGGCAAAACCTCCCATGCTCCTGGATTGGAAGGATTAACATCGTGAAAATGGCAATACTTCCCAAGGCTATCTACAAATTCAATGTGATATTTATCCATATTCCAACCTCATTCTTCAAGGAAATAGAAGAAGTAAACCAAAAATTCATATGAACAATAAAAGACCCTGAATAGCAAAAATGATCCTTAACAAAAAGAACAGTGCTGGAGGAATATCAATACCAAATTTCAAACTCTACTACAAAGTGATAGTAATCAAAACAGCTTGGTACTGGCACAAGAACAGACCTCAGGAGCAATGGAATAGAATTGAAAACCCAGAAATGAACCCACAGACCTATAGCCATCTAATCTTCGATAAGGGAGCTAATAAAATAGGAAGAAAGATAGCCTCTTCAGTAAATGGTGCTGGCAAAATTGGTTAAACACTTGTAGAAAACTAAAACTAGATCCTTATATATCACCCTGCACCAGAATCAACTCCAAATGGATCAAAGACCTCGGAGTCAAAGCAGACACTCTGAAAACATTACAGGATGGAATAGGAGAAACCCTAGGTCTCCTTGGCACAGGCCGAAAATTTCTTAATAGAGACCCAGAAACACAACAAATCAAAGAAAGGTTGGACAAATGGTATTGCATGAAATGCAGAGTTTCTGCATGGCAAAGGACATAGCTAGCAAGATCAATAGAAAACCCACGGATTGGGAGAAGATCTTCACTGGCCCTAAAACAGGACAAGGGTCTCATATACCTGGAACTCAAAAAATTGAATCCGCCAACAACAAATCCTCAAAGAAACAACTGCCCAATAAATAAGTGGGCTAAAGACTTAAAGAGAAACTAATTTATTTTTAGGAAGACCTTCAGGTGAACTGAATCTGTTTTTTATATTTCAAAATATAATTATCTTAAAATAGTTGTATAAAATAGTTTCAGTCATATTATGAGTATATCCTTTGGTTTCTCGTAGCTTGTGAAATTATGCATTTAGGCAAATTAACCCATGTGGCACAGAACACTGTAATTTTTATGTTAAATTTGCCAGAAGACAAAGAAAGTGATAAGGACATAGGAACCATTTTACTGCAACTGATAAGGGGGAAGGAAATCAGAAGAGAGGGGTAGATGGCTATTTAACATTAATGGCAATTAACTAAAAGGTCAAAAGTTGGAGGGACATATTGGTCACAGTACTGTTCATAACACATTCCTGGATTCAGGGTGGTTCTCATAAATTAACTTTTCTAGTGAATAATTTTTGTTTTAATGCTTCATACCTATTATTTTATTTATGTAGATGGTATGTACCAGGCAGATTTCCACCAGATGTCCTGACTCTAGTCAATCTCTTTGGTATTGTAAACTAGCCTAAATAATCAAACATCCAGTTATTATTTATTTACATTTTTGTCATTCA